AAAAAAAAAAAAAAAAAAAAAAAAAAAAAAAAAAAAAAAAAAAAAAAAAACATAATTAGAGAGATTTTAGGGGTTGGGTTGAAAGGGTAAAAGATTTGGAAGAAAAAACGAAATCTTTGGAACTTAAGAAGTCTAAAGGAATCGGTGCCGTTAAAAAAGAAAGGAGAGATTTGATGGATTTTATGCCAACCGTCGTTGAATTTGTAAGTTTTTTGGGTCAAAATTATTGCCCCATAACTCTTTCTAATTCACTTTTTGGCTCATTGTTCTTGACCATTACCATTATTTTTTGTTTTTTTTTTTCTTAAAAGAAGATAAATATTTGATTTAGCTTTTAGAAAAATTAAGCTTCCCAACCTTATTTTGAGTTTTTTTAATTAATTATTTAAGAATTTTAAAAACCAAAATATAATTTTCTTTTAATTTTTGAAATTTGGTTAAAATTCAAATGTGTTATAAAATAGGAAAAGAAAACAAATAAAAATAAAAACAAACCTTAACTATTGATAATTATTTATAATGTTTTTAAAGATATTTATCGAGTATAATTCAATTAATAATTATCTAACCCAAATAGGAATAAATATTTTTTTTTTTATCAAACCAATTATACCCCATTTGCCCCATTTTCAAAAATAGTTTTAAAATAAAAAAATAATCTAAAATTGTTTTTTCATTATTCCCTTTAATTTTTATTTTGTAAACGATTAAAGCATGTGGAAGTGGCCATCCACTAGGCCTTGTTCATCACATATTCCACCATCGTAACAATTTGATTCTTTATCTAAATATAATTTATACCTTAAACATTATTTTCGTTCTAACTTTTTAAATTTTTAAATATTCTATTTTAATCATTAAATTTAAACGAAAAACATAATTTTCATGCATATTAATACTTTTTTACTTATTATTCGCTCGTTGAAATACTTGTCTCAGCCGATTTATGTGAATACAATGTATACGACATATACAAAATTGTATTATTTAATTAAATAACAAAAAAAATTTAGAATAAAAAATAAAGTTAAAATAAAGATAGGTTGTGAAAAATGGGGAAATTATAGAAAGGGAGAGAGCTACCAAAACATTGCATTCAAACAAAAAGACTTGGACTAAGTTTCTTCAATAATAAAACATAGAGAAAGACTTCGGACATATCTTAGTCATATAAACCTATTAAAATCCCATCAATTATAAAAATATAACCATTGAATTTTGTACATTAATATTCTTATTGGGGCATGTGATTTCTCTTAAATTCACCCATTTTCTCGGTGGGGTCAGTGAAATATGAGAATTTGAACCTCCGATCTTAAAGAAGTGGGTACTGGAAAGATTCTCGACCAGGTCAGTGAAATATGAGGATTTGAACCTCTGATCTTAAAGAAGTGAGGATTGGAAAGAATTTCGACCGGCCAAATTAGTGAAATATGAGGATTTGAACCTCTGATCTTAAAGAAGTGAGGACTAGAAAGATTTTCCACCAGATTAGTGAAATATAATAAGAGGTATTATTACAAAAAAAAAAAATGGAAAAATGTATGTAATTTATTTTGTACAACAAACAAAAAAACATGAGTAATGTAAGTAAATTTAGAATCAAAAGGTTCTTTTGAGGTCCTTAAAATCCAAAGAATCAATACATTCTAACCTTTCCCTATGAAGATTATTCAAGAGTTTCAACAACTCAGTTGCTTTCTCCTTTGTCCATTCACTACAACCAACTTGCAACAACAACAAAAGCTTTTGAAATGCTCCAACTTGAAGAGCTTCTACTTTAACTCCTCCATCTTCATCTTCTTCTTCTTCTCTACTCTCGTGCTTTACGAGCTTCCAAACGATCGACACCGATAGCTCGGTCACCAAATCCGACACTCTAAGTATCTTTTTCACAATCACGGGCATCGTCAAAGCATGCGCGTACGCCTCTTCTCTTCCTTGTTTGGTCTCGCAAATGCCATCGAACACTCCCAACGCCCTCTCGCATACGCTTCTCTCGGCGTCTACGAGGGTTTCGAGTAGCAAAGGGACCAACCCCATTTGAAGAAATGCCTTTGTGAAACCCTCTTGATTGGAAGAAGAGGCTATGGCATGATATGTTATGAAAAGTGAGGCCTTTTTTGAAGATGAACAAATGGGCTCTTTTATGAGCTTCATAAGACCCTCTAATACTCCTTGGATTTCTCCTAATTCGCTTACTTTTTCAGGGTATGATGAAATTATCTCTTTCAATACCAAAATTGAGCTTCTTCTTCTTGATTTGTCTTCTCCTCTTACAAACCACACCAATGCTTGCATTGAAGCTTCTGATTTTAGATGTTTAATGGCTTCTTCTTGTAGAGGGAAGATCATTGCCATCGTCGATAAGATTTCTTCTAAAATCTCGACCCTTTTCTCGAATCGTTCGGGTTTCGAAAACGCTTCGAATGCGGAGGATAATACATTTCCTGTTAACATATAAACAAAAATAATGATAAAAAGGTTCCACCTTTGAATCTCGTAGCTAATTTGTAAGAGTCTTATTTGAGCTTTTCCTTAATAATTTTAAAATGGGTCGGTTAGGGAGAGGTTTACCGACCCTTGTAACAAAAGGTGTTTCGTTATACTCCTCAACCAAAGTGGACGCTCATTTGTAAGAGTCGAAGGTCACCCCTGGCAGATATTGTCCTATTTGAACTTTTTCTCGATAATTTTAAAATGGGTCGGTCAAGGAAAGGTTTAAACACCCTTGCAATAAAGGGTGTTTCGTTCTCCTCCCCAACCGAGATGGGATGTTAGCTATGAAGTAGTTTACGAACCTGTTCCATTGGCAATAATGCATTTCTTGTTCCTTTCACTTTCTTGTACCAATATCTTGATCTTCTCAACCAAGGACTTGCATCCCTCACAATCCTCCCGCCTGACCGCAGCAGCGATCTTGTCAAGAATCTCCCGAACCTGCACGGGGCTGGCGGGAACCCTCGGCGTCGGAATCCTCTCGATCCCATGAGCCCTATTCTCGACGCACCAAGCTTGGATCATCTTCCTTATGTTGTGATTAGGAATGGAATCAATGGTGTGCAAAGGTTGGTTAGTGAAGGGGCAGCTGAAATTGCCTCCTTCAATCCATGTCTCAATGTTGGCTCGATCGTAGGTGATGCCGGTGGACATGGTGACTGGATCTTTCATCAAGTCCAGCGATATTGGGCACAGGAAATGGCTCGGGATCGTCAGCTCCGCCATGCTGCCGCCGCCACCGCCGCCACCTCTAGCCATCCTCCGGGTAGCCCTCCGGCGTCGCCAAGAAAACATCATCATAGAAAGAAATTAGAGGAAATTAAAGAGAAGGGGTTGTATTTATATTGGATAAAGATGGTGTTTATATGTGAATGGGAACATTGAACGGTCACGCGGGGGGAACTATAATATATATATATATATATATTTATATATATAAAGTTGAACAAAGAGGGAATTAGTCGGACAGAAATGGGAGAGTTTGAATGTTGACCAAAGAGAGAAAGAAGAAGGGAAGTTTGAAATGGTAAATGGATTTTATTTTATATATATATATATATATATATATATATATTAATGTAAATTTTTTATGGGTAATTTTAAACGGGGGGACGAGGTATTAGGAATCACGACCCTCTACAATATAAACTTTCATGGCTATGTTTTAGGCTTCAAAGTCTCGTACCATGTCAGACTCTCTCCCAACAATTCTCAACTTGAAGGAGAGAGACAATATTATATTTTCTATTTTTAACTGTTCAGTTATATTATTGTATTTTTATTTATAAAATATTATTAAAAATTTTAAAATATTTTATATTGAAAAATAAAAATTATCCATTAAAAATTAAAATCTCCACTCCATTTTCCTCCGGTTGACCAAGTCGTGCCATGATTGAAATTAAGCCTAAATTTAAGGATTAAATTTAACCGTTGGAAGGTGTGAGGATTAAACTAGTCATTCTAAATTATAAATATGTATTTATTAAAATAATTGGAAATTTACATGTTTATA